TTATTACATTTGGATATATGTAGATTAAATATACTGGCAAGGTCCAATGTGATATCTATTGCGTATTATCGCGATAATTTGATACAAAGTCTTTTTCACGATTTTAAATATGGAAGCCTATTTTATTATGTCTATTTCATGGAAGATGTGGACTCTTCAATGGGTGTAGTTATCGTGAAAATTGAACGAGCTGTTGATTTTACTTTATCCATATTAATATTTTAGTGTTCATTTCATCCTTACGTTGTTAACAAGCTTGCTTTGCTGGTGATAATTACATTTGTCTTCATCTGTTTTTCATAGCCTGTCTCCTTTTTATTTTCTCATTATTCTATAAGCGATACTGAGTTCAAAGTGTATTCAATTATGTGATTGGTGGCCTGGTATATTTTGTGCTTTTAAAGAAAAGTTGGGTTTCGAAGAATCTATTGTTTCATAATTGTTGAGCTTACTTCCATTTCGAATTTAATTGTTAGATGTAGAGATGTAGTTAGGTCGATCTCACCAGAAGATGGCGGCGGACTCCTCTTTACACAATACAATAAAAAAAACAATTAGTATTGTGAATGCAGCTCATATATCTACTGGCAGTCTCGAAAGCCTATTTATAAACTGTAGTTTATTGTTTTAGCAAATACAAATTTGCTTCGCTGACAATCTGACTAAATAAATGTAAGAAAGTAGGGTTTCTCATTAAATAAATGTAATATAGGATAGGCCTAAGCTTACTTAAAATTAACTTCTGACCTGTGACTCAAAGGCATTCGTAGCAATGTGGCGTAGTGGAGTATTGGTGAGATCTTAAGGGAGGTCGAAGCTACTTTCTTCTCTGCCTGATAATATCTTGTGAGAAGCTAGGCTGTGTGAAATTCAATGTATACATGAGGCCTACTTACGTCATTGGGGAAAAATTCAACTATCACTCCTTCATCCATGAAATAGGATGAATACAGATATATCGGCAGTCTATTAAACCTACTTATAAGCTGAACATTAAATCTGGCTTCTCTGGTGGTCTTAATATCACTATTATTGATATAATTCGAGTTTATAAATTTTTTTGAGACAACAAATAGGTTCTTAATGGGCTTTTGCGAACACTATACGACT